ATGCGTCTGTGGCCGTAACATGTCGTGTTGCTGTTGAATGGTGAATATTTTAATGATTGTTGCGTTACTGACGAAATAAATACAGAGACGTTTAATTTAAGATGTGCAACAGGATGCTGAAGTACAGAATTACAAGCGAGGTTCTTAGCCTTACGCGCCGGCCGCCCTTTACCGTCAGAAGATTCCTGGTACTCATTTCTGTTAGAGGCTTAATCGACCCTAGGGCCACATTGCGGCTGGAAGGATTGGGTTAATTGAAAAATTTAATAACCTCACTGGGAATGTAACCCGCGAACTTAGGCCGCGCCACAGCTGAAGCGGTTAGTCGCTGGCTTCCCACAGCGGAGGCCCGCGTTCAATCCGGGGTCTGGTCAAATAGGATTTGTGGTGGACAAAGTGGCGCTGAGGCAGGTTTTCTCAGAGTACTTCGGTTTCCCCTGCCAATCTTCATTCCACCAACTGCTCCACAATCACCCTCACCTATCATCTGGGGCTGGTACGTACAATAGGCCAGAAGTGGCCGCAGTACAAGGGACTTGGTCCCACCCCACTAACAATAAATCAAACCGCGAACTTCCAGTTTGAAGTACAGTGCCTCAACCAAAAGGTCACAATGCTTGCAATTGACAATTGAATGTTCTAAGTGGCAGTTCAAGTTTTAGGGACACCCCTAACTAGGCGTGACACATGTTAACATGATGCACTTACGAGCAGCTGATGGTGGCGCAGATAACTTGCTCGTTAAATCGTTGTCTTCATTCTGACGGAGAGAGAGAAGTGAGACTAGGAACAGAGCCAAGACGGGAATACCGTAATAACTGGAGTAGACCTCTGCCGTTATGTCTCGCTCCCATTACTAACTATTTCGGGCCCCGTACAGACTGGCCATCAAATTGTATATGACAGTTCCCTTCAGTGAGGCTTATAAATATGGTGACTGTGCGAAACCTTATATATCTTAAAGATTTTGCACAGTATGTGTCTTTACTAGAGGGTCGGGATGCGTCAGACTGGACAAAAGGGGTCGGAGTTCGAGTCCCTGTAAGGTCAAGAATTTTCTCTTTTCCACGTCGTTCAGACCGGTTCTGGAACCCACTCAACCTCATATTCAATTGGAACTGAGAGCTCTTTCTATGGGGATAAAGCGGCTGGGGCGTGAACCTGACCCCTCACCTCCAACTAATGCAGAGGTCAAGAAAATGTGGGTCTATACAACCACTCCCCCCATATGCCTTCATGGCGTAGTGCTTAATTAGAACTGACTCCGCATAACAAACTCCTTCTTGACAAATAATATTCGCCCAGGTACTCAAGAAATTATGAGCCTTGTATGAAACCCTAATGTTCGTTGCCTTGTTCAGAAGAGCCCGTCACTGAACCTTATCACAAGCCACAAGAATCAAGACCACGTCCTAGCACAGTTTCTGTAAGATCATTTTAGAAGTGTCACGATTTAGAGCAACTATAGGCGAGGTTTTGATTGGTGAATAGATTTATTGACCACGTACAGCTCGTAACGACAGACAACTATATGACTATCCCTGGTTTCCACACTTCACAAACCACTCCACCCTGTCTTCTCAGTCTGCTCTCACTAGTCGTCACATAGTAACAGCTCTGAACAACGGCAATTCCTCTGCAAAATTTTCACTAGACGTTTCCTGGTAACGACTCTTAACAAGTGAGATTCTTCAGCTACCGTGGTCACGCCGCTGTCCACTGGTTAGTAATCCATAACTTAACTCTTAACTAAACTGCAGCGCCAATTGTCTTCAATTAACTCCTCGGCACGGACCACACAGAAGACACAGTCCTTCTATTGTTGTAGAGGCGTGTTTACGGCCGCGTTGTATAGTAAAACTCACGGAGCGGACCACATAGGAAGCACGGTTCTTCTATTGTGGGAGTTACCTAGCAAAGGCCGGTATTTACAGAGTCACTGCTCAGCAACGGGTCTGTACGCCACAGTATGATCCTATCATCTTCGCCTAGATCTGCTTCTTGGGACAGTGAGGATAAAGCTCAGTCTGACCTTGCGTATGTACTTGCAAACTTAGAATAGTGTTTGATGAGGAATGTATACAAGCGGACTTGGGGTCGTTACTATAATGTACGCAGCTTCAATGTGCAGCTCCATGTCAGTTGTATTTATCTTGGCGGACATAAAACTTTTCAGACGAATAACTCCTTCATGATTCTCTGCTCGAACTACGTCAATTTGAATCGTAAAACGTAACCTACACGGTGTCTAAAAAATTCAGTGTTGAATGAGAGTGAGGATAGTTCATTTAATTATAGATTGAAGACAATATTCATTGCACGTAATATTACTGGTAAGAAATGATGGCCCTGTAATTGAACCACGACAAATTATTGATCGCTTGGCCTGCTTGATATTGCACTGGATTCAATTGGAATTAATTTATTTTTAAAATTACCCGGACTCACTAGAAACTTACTTACTCATGGAGCCGAGCCCTTCTGAAGGAGCCGCCAATTCTGCAGCTACTCAAGAATTTCCCAGCATTTTATGGAACCCGAAGGTTCATTACCGTGTTCACAAGAGCCCTCCACTGGTCCCTATCCTAAGCCAGATCAATCCAATCTATACCATCCCGTCCTATCTCTCCAAGATCCACTTTAATATTGTCCACGCACCTACGCCTTGGTCTTCCCTGTGGTCTCTTTCCTTCTGGCTTTCCCACCAATATCCTATACGCATTCCTCGTCTCCCCATTCGTGCTACATGACCTGCCCAACTTATCCTCCTTGACTTCATCATTCTAATTATAATTGGAGAAGAGTAAAAGTTATGAAGCTCCTCATTATGCAGGTTTCTCCAACCTCCTGTCACTTCATCTCTCTTCGGTCCAAATACTCTCAACACCCTGTTCTCAAACACCCTCAGTCTATGTTCCTCCCTTAATGTCAGAGACCAAGTTTCACACCCATGCAGAACCACAAGCAAAATTATAGTTTTGTATATTCTAATTTTTACGTATTTATACAGCAGACGAGAAGACAAAAGGTTCTGGACTGACTGGTAGCAAGCATTACCCGAGTTCAATCGCCTCTTAAGTTCCTGCTGAATCAGATTTCGATCTTTTATCGTAATATTTATATATACATCAAGTAATCGGCTATCCCGCTGAGGATTTCTTGATTTTCCTCAGTCCCTCCAGGCACGACCGCAATCCCCCACGTCTTTTTCAATATATTATCCGCTAACATCATATCATTCAACTCTTCGAATCTGACTTCCTGACAGCGTAGTTAGAAATGTTACATGTGAAGGCACATCAGTTTCTGGAGTTTGTTATACAGGCTGATTCTAAATTATTGTCGGTGTTTCCGTGGCATACAGATTTCAAACCGGAAAGAATATAATAAAACTGCTTATCAACATGAAAGTGTAATTCAAAAAGTTTTATTGGCTATAGGCGGTTATGAACCTCCCCCCCCCCAAAAAAACACATATTTCTGGTGTACTTAACTGCAAAAGCAGCTCGTCTAATTGATTTTTGTGGGCTTAGAGAAAATTCTTCCTGGATTCGATCAACAACTTCCTGCGAAGTGCTCGGCCTTCCCGCTTCTTTTCGGTGCATAACAATACCGGTCTCTTGAGATTGCTTTAACCAGCGTCTTATAGCATTATCTGAAGCTGGAGCTTTTCCATATTGAGTTCTGTAACGACGTTGCAACTGAATAACGGACTTCGTTTCGTAAGACTAAAGCACACGCATTGCTCCTCTTGAACAGTCGCCATTTTGAGGTATGACGTCATATTTCTCCCAGACATCAATGGAGCGAGTATACAAAACTCTCTGAGTTACACTCTCATATTCAGTAAGCAGTTTTATTTTGTTATTTCCGGTTTGAAAATTATAGGTCTTGGAATTTAGAATCACACTGTACTTAAGGTAATCGTTAGTCATTGCATAGACATCCACTGTTTGCTTCCCATCTTCAGCATCAGTGGAAACAGCCAGGATGGATATTAAGGGGGATGTGGACTGGATTTAGCTGGCTCAGGATAGGATCAATTAGCGGGTTCATCCGAACACGGGTTTTGTAAATTACGAGGAGCTTCTTTACGAGCTACGAGACCGTCAGCTTCTCTATAAATACTCATGTGCATGTAAGAAATCAAGATGGAGCTAGGAACAATATGGGTAGGAAGGCTGTATGCTAGTTCTGTCTGACGGCTCGCAATCTAACCCTGTCCTAACAGTGTCCTCTGCTGAAGAATATCCCACAAGTGACTCACTGTCCCAGGCTGGCGACCATCTCACACCAACCTACTGTTCTCTTCAGTGACTGACTCGGTCACTCACCAACCAACTCTCTTCACTCACTCCACTCAACTAACTGTACTGGTTATAACATTTAGACACGGATCGCGTAGAAAACACCGCTCCTCATTTTTGTAGTTCAGTCGTCTCCATGGGAACATGTTTGTTTGCGAAGCCGTTACTCAGCAAACGGCTCTTGTTTCATTGCTTTTTCTCGCGGTCGTTGCCTAGCAACAGTTCTACATGCTTGCTTGCTTGCTTACTTACTTACTTACTTACTTACTTATGGAGCTGAGCCCTTCTTGAGGAGAAGCCAAATGTGCAGCTACTCGAGAATTTGCCTGCATTTTATGGAACCCGAAGGTTCATTACCGTGTTCTCAAGAGCACTCCACAGGTTCCTATCCTGAGCCAGATCAATCCAATCCATACCATCCCATCCTATATCTCTAAGACCCATTTATAATATTATCCAACCACCTACGCTTTGGTCTTCCCAGTGGTCTCTTTCCTTCTGGCTTTCCCACCAATATCCTCTACATGCTACAATATGATGACGCTTAAGTATACTGTCCGGGGAAAGTCTTACACTAACGAGCACTGGACCCGAGACAGTACGTATTAGTGCCACAAGACTGCGCACCTCGCGCCTTTATACTGTTTATGAAGGAAACGTGCAAAGGCTCGGAAGTATGCAACAGAAAGCATATACGGTTGGTTGTCTTTATTGCACTGTTCCAGGGCAGGAGCAAAATGTTTGTTAAGGGTGGGAGGATTACGTAAGTGTAGTAAAGCGAGATGAAGGAGAAATGAGAACACGACATTGCGCCTTCATTGCTGTTAGTTTATTGTATAGTGTGCTTCACTTTTCTGCTAATGTTTGTGTGTGTTATTTGTCCCTTGTCTTATTTTAGTGCCACTGCCACCGGGTGAGAACCCACTTGCAGTTAAATAATAACGAGAACAAGAGCCACGCTTTATAAATGTTCCGTTAGTTGCATCATGCTACCGTTACGTTTCCCTATTATGTCGACCAAGTGTTCCATAACGTCACGGAAAATCCTGGAGTCCAGATTTTCACCCAACATGCAGAAGAGGAACCAGTCACCGATCCCACAACGGCGGTCGATCTGCGCAAGAACACCGTGATCAATGTGCCCGAAACGTTTACGCAAAACGTAAATTCTGAATTTAGAACTTGTTATTATGCTAATCGTGAATATGAACCACACCGAAGTGAAGATCAGGAGCACGATCAACCAGAACCACAGGAACGTGTAAATCTTCCCGTTCAAGGCGTTCAGTGGCAGCACGCACAGGGAATCATAGCGAACCAGAGTCCCAGAAGCGCCGATATTGTGGAAAGTGCACTTCACCGTTTTCGGAAAGACGTACGTCATGGGGTCCTCTCTGCCCTCGTCATCGCTTGCCATGAAGCTCAGGACTCTGGAACCGTAGGACCAAAATTCGCCACCGAGGAAATGATCCATGAAGAATATCTGGCCTGTAAGAAGAACAAAACTGCAGTTCGTCTACCAGTTGCTGAGGTTCTGTCAGACACCGCGCATAAACATGCCGAACTGTGATAGCACAAACAGCTGGAGAAGAAACGAGTGGCACGCTCGAAAACAAAGAGAGGTAACTAGTAAGAAAGAAGGAAATAAAGACAAAGAGAAAGATAAATGAAAGAGTAATATAGAAGAAAATAAAGACAGAGAAATAAAAATAAAGAGTAAGAAAGAACTAATGTTCCCACCTCATGACTCGTAGTACGCGGGTTCAAGCCCGGCGGAGGTCGTGGAATTTTTAAGGGCGGAAAAATTCAGGGAAAAAGTCCTCCGGGAGGGACTTTAAGCCGTGGGTCCCGTGTCGTAGCTTTACGGCACGTAAAAGAACCTCATATCTCCTAAGGAGGTCACTGAGCAAAATTCAAGGACATTTCCCGCCCAACAGTAGTCTCTAACGTCTCTGATAGATGGGGGAAGCATTATAGATACGGCTAAGCCAGTAGAGGCCGAACTCGCTGGCTTGTTCGGGACTGATGGTAAGCACCAGTATCGGTAGGGTATAGAGACTGGTAGAATATCATAGAGGGAAGCACAATGGACCAATACTGGTCTAAGTGCATGGGGAAACCCACCCTCTCCAATAACTAACTAAGAAAGAAGAAAATAAAGACAGAGAAATAAAAATAAAGAGTAAGAAAGAAGAAAATAAAGACAGAGAAATAAAAATAAAGAGTAAGAAAGAAGAAAATTAAAACAGAAGTAGAAATAAAGAGTAAGATATGAGAAAATAAAGACAGAGAGAAAGATAAATAAAAAGTAAGAAATAAATAGAGACAAATGGAAATAGAGGCACAGCTAAGTAACGAGTGCAGGAGGAAGACAGACAGTGAATAAAACAGTGAGATGATGGCACAAAGACAGACAGAAAGAGAAAGAAATGGGAGGCAAGAGAAGTAACGTTATGGAACGGGGATAAAGGGAGCAGGATAGTATTGGCTCCCCCTGGTAACCACCCTTCCCTGCCAAGTAAATCAATCTCAAGTCCTTACAAGTCGACACATTATTATTATTATTATTATTATTATTATTATTATTATTATTATTATAATAACAAAAAACACTTATGAAGAAGAAGAAAATGGATAATTGCAATCGGAATTTAGACCAATCATACGCTGTCCTTTGCAAGCGAGACTGTGGCGCTGTCTGCGGAGCTAGGCTCAGCAGACAAGTTCCTCCTTACAAGGGTAGATGAGGACCTGTAGCCTACTTGACGTCTCAGTTTTTAGTATCTAGGTGACCTCACCCTCTGGGGGGTGGAATGGTTAAGCCCTTCCAGGCTGACTATCTTTAAATTAAAGTGAATATCGCTGTTGTTTTCATAATGCCAGTTGTGACTGGATGATCTCTCTTCGAATTCTACTGAGATTCTTTAAAATGCACTCAGTCATTGCTATAAGACAGTCGTATCACAGGATACAAGAATCCCGTACAAAATTTCCTAATACGTTTCTTGAGTAAACATTACGTAGTCTTGTGGTCTATCAGTATTTTGCTGGCCGACCACATTCTAAGGATTTTACAGCGGAAACTAAACGTGATTTCCTCTTCCGGCTTGAGGCAAAAAAAGAAATGTGGAAACAACAGATAGCCTACATCCTCTGAGTCAATAAAGAAATAATTACGAAATCAATGGAACCTTAATATTTTTTTCCTTGGCACTACAGCCCCCGTGGGCCTAGGCCTACCTCCATGAACTTCTCCGTTCATTTCGGTTTTTCTATATTTTACACAGTCGGTAGGACTCCTTTGGCGGGTGATCAGCTTGTCGCAAGGCCTCTACCTGTACACAAACACAGAAAAAAGCACACACACAAACTAAACACCCATGCCCTGAGTAGGATTCGAACCCACGATCCCGATTTCCAAGCGGGCGAAGACAGTAGACGCCTTAGACCGCTCGGCTACCGTAACCGGCCCTTAATATATTAGGATGCAATATATGTGCTTGCGTGCTCATGTGGGGGAGAGGTGGCTCACAACACCGTAAATATGTGCATACATGTACACTTCCAGACATACAAACACACATATGTAGCTACACATTCATATCTCTTTACACAAGTTCATAATGACACTGCGTGAGGTTACCGCAGTGCGACTACAGAGTCTACACTCACTCGCTGCAGATAACACTCATTCCTCCACGAATAGAATTCGTGCCGTCAATTTCATGAAAAGTTCTCACTCAGAAGAGCTTCTTTTCTTATTGCTAGTGGGGTGGGACCGTTGGGACCGTTGGGACTAAGTCCCTTGTACTGCGGCCACTTCTGGCCTACTGTACCAGCCCCAGATGATAGGTGAGGGTGACTGTGGAGCAATTGGTGGAATGAAGATTGGCAGGGGAAACCGAAGTACTCGGAGAAAACCTGCCCCACCGCCACTTTGTCCACCACAAATCCCACTTGACCAGACCCCTGATCGAACCCGGGCCGCCGCGGTGGGAAGCCAGCGACTAACCGCTTGAGCTATGGCGCGGCCCTCAGAAGGGCTTGCTGAAACCTGCATCCGGTATTCAATATTTTCTTTTCATATTGATTGTTACGATGTGAAATTTCATGACCATGGTATATTAATACAATTATTTACTTTTTGGGCGTTATCCATCGCCCTTTTTTTGTTTAGAAACAAAGTTTCGGAAAGTAGACTCTGTCTCCCAACTTGAAGACGGAGTCAGAGTCCAGTCTCCGAAACCTTCGTTCTAAATAAATGAAATCATGGCTATGGTTAACTTCCGAAACGTCGACAATTGTGTTGGTTGCCCAGACATTCATTCTAGATGGGGTGGGAATTGTGAACGCACCGATAATATTAATGAAAGCGAGCACTTCGCAGAACAAGTAGCGGCAGGCCCACCAAGTGTGGTTGTTCATATTCTCGTGCAGGTAATCCACCAACATCTCCTTCTTCTGCGCCTTCTCTTCTTTAGAGACGAACCCGATGTTCAGATCCATCCTGAGTGCTTGTAGCTTCCCGCCTTCCCAATTCTTCCACAGCCATCCTGGGATGTAGAACAGGATAGCCTGCAACGACCATAAAGCATGAATAACAACAGTGCATGAACTGCTCCTCTGGTAGACAGATAACCGTATCTTTCGTATTGGCTAGCAGTAAGACAGGCGGATTGTCTGCCTATCTCTACGTGACCGTCGTAACTGCTAAGTGCACCTGTACTCTGTATCGTGTGGAGCCACGCCATAGCTCAAACGGTTAGTCGCTGGCTTCCCACCGCGGCGGCCCGGGTTCGATCCCGGGTCTGGTCAAGTGGGATTTGTGGTGGACAAAGTGGCGCTGGGGCAGGTTTTCTCCGAGTACTTCGGTTCCCCTGCCAATTTTCACTTCACCAAATTCTCCACATCATAATCACCCGCGACAGGCTACAATAGGCCAATCAGTGGCTGCCGAGTGGACCCAGTTGGACTCCACCACCCACTAAAAGAAATGTATCGCGCGGACAGTGGCATTCTGTCTGTGTGCTGTGGATAGTGGATGTACGTATAGCTCCACACATTCTTAACCTCAACGCTAGCTGAAGATGAGCGGCCCTATCCCTTGCCTCTGAACCCCTCTGGGGAAGAACACCTGGTACCCGTGGTGCTGAGACCTGGTCTGGACCCTGTGGGTCGCGCGGCCTGTAGCCTGGTTGCTGTACCGATTGAGCTATCGCCACTCCCTCGATATTCAGCTGTTTAATTGCCTCAAGCGTACATCAGAGCCACCTAGCGAAACTTTGCGACGAATAAACTGACTCTGCTGTTTCAAATATGAAAATCCCGCACTAAACACGATGGTGAGCCACCTCCATCCAATTCCTATTCCCTCAGTCTATTTCCGTATGCGCAACAGTAATCTGATAACGGATAAGTACATATACACATGCGCAGTCACGGTCTTCTGTGGAGGCACGAAGTAGAGACTGCTGGACAGGTGGCCTACCTAAACGGCGAGAGCAAGCAGTTTCTCTAAACGCCGCGTTCCTGTGTCACACGGTGTAAATAATAACAAGTTCATGTTCTGATGATCTGTTACCAACAAAATGTCATGATTTTATATTCAGTGGCGCTATTTTAAGCGAAAGTAAGTTGCTTTTCCTGTAATGGCACAAATTTCATGTCGCATTTCACGAATGCCCCTCGATTCCATGCATAATGAGAAGCTTCGTAACTTGTACTTTTCTCCAAGTATAATTAGAATGATCAAGTCAAGGAGGATGAGGTGGGCAGGGCATGTGGCATGAATGGGGGAGAAGAGGAATGCATATAGGATATTGGTGGGAAAGCCAGAAGGAAAGAGACCACTAGGAAGAACAAGGCGTAGATGGTTGGACAATATTAGAGTGGATCTTAGAGAGATGGGATGGGATGGATTGGATAGATCTGGCTTAGGATAGGGACCAGAGTAGGGCTCTTGTGAACAAGGTAACGAACCTTCGGGTTCCATAAAATGCCGGAAAATTCTTGAGTAGCTGCAGAATTGGCTTCTCCTCAAGAAAGGCTCAGCTCCATAAGTAAGTAAGTTATGGAAATATGGGAAAATCAATAAATTAATTATCACCACGTGTCTTGTTGATATGATACCTGAAATTTCATCACCGTAACCAAAACAACCCGCCAGTTCGGTTACTTACCTGAAAAAACAGACTCAGAAATACCCAGGGGTAGTAGAATTTGGTCCTTCTACTGCCTTTGCCTTCCGGAGTCGCCACGCCAGGATAAGTGAACCCTGAGCCGGTTTTCTTCTGAAATTCTTCCGGCACTGTGAATGTGGATTGAGACCAGCAATGTGCGTCCAACACAGCCCGAGGAATCGTTTCAGTGCTGCAATTTATTGGGCTCCTCACGTACTGGTTGAGCCCCACAATCAAACAGAATATTAAGAGTAAAGCAACCGTTGCCGAGTGATGGAGCCTGAACACAAAACTGTCCGTCTGAATCCTTTGCCTTCTGAAGAATGTGAGAACACGTTTGAATATGTCCAGCATTTCGGATCTATTCTTTGTAGTCTTTAAGAATCACCACCAAGCTCTTTATCACCACGGACACGAGTATCACGTGACACGTAACGTGAACAGGAATGCACACTCTCGGAAGGCCTTAGCAACGTTACGAAAACGTTAATGTGGCCAAGTTAAGTCGCCCTTGCGCTTAATTAAGCATCAGGACATGAAGATATCTGTTGCAGTGGAGGTATAATTGCACTCATTCTTAACCTCGACGTTAAGTGTAGCGCAGTGATTAGCTTCACGGCCTGGTCGCCTTCACTTCTGGAAGAGCTCCTTGCACCCATCAAAGAGCAGACTGGGCGGCCCACAGAACCGCTCTGTACGCTGTGGAGAAAATAAGAACATCTTAGTCTTGCCTAGGACTAAATCACATTTCCTCGCACGCCTAGCCCGTAGTAAGCTACTATACCGACAGAGCTCTCTCGGATCTTGCATTAACCCTTTCAAAATTACAGAAAACGCATTACGGCTCCGCCACAGAGCCCAACAGGTTACTGCTGTTTAGGGAAACAGCCGCTGTTTACTGTGAGACCCATACGGAACACACAGATACACCCCGTGGGCAGAATGCAGAGTTTTAGTGTGTTAAAGCGGGTAGTACATACAGTAACCACTGGTCTTTAAATGGTTAAGATCGATGCTAGGAAACTATACAGTGGCTGATGTAAGTTGGATGGGACTGTCTCAGGCGGACTTTGAAATTAGCTGAGATGAAATTATGGGTTCCCTTATCAGGAAATTAGGTACGTCGGTGGATAGGTATTTTGATTATAAAGGGACAAAGATTTATAAGAGAGTAATCACATCCTGAATCAATGTAAAACCCGTAATTGTATTTTAGTGAATTTTAAAATGTCACCTCTCCTTACCAAATAAATCTTTCGACAATCTCTTATCTATGGTTACCGAAAGAAACCATGACAATTTGAAGATATTCGGTTCCCATGTTAACCTGTGCAGTATTCTTACGTGTCTTAGAGGCGTATGAGTCCACGAAAGTGCAAATTACGTAATGAGCATCTGTTTTAGTAGCGAACTTTGTGCCAGTGGGTACAAGAAGTGATGCACAGTGGTGACGTCCAGATGAGGCCTTAAGAATCCTGGGAAATGCGTTGAAAAGTGCGGCAGAACAAAGAACATAATCATATAGAACGGTTCTTCAAGAAACCCGCTACAAAATAAAATTATTTACCATTGTCCTGTACCCTACTGACGGCCTAATTTATTGCAACGTGTCTTTCAAGGGGTGGTCTCAAATTACGATTACGTTTGTCAAACGTTTTACCTTGCACATTTTACATAACATATTTGAACCACCCACAGAGATACATCATCCCGGACGAAGGAAAACCTAAGACTACTCGTGACTCCAGTGTATACACTCGTTAACATTTTTAAATCAGTCTAAAAATATATTGCTGTTTCCAGTGTTCGTAATTGCCCACCTGTGTTTTATTACAGCACGACACTAGTATCGCCCCTTATTAAAGCTAGAATTCACTAATACAGCAAACTTGATTCACTGTTTCCTTGTTCAGAACTTGTAGCGCTTGTGGGACATGACGCCGTATTATTTGGTCCATGGGTACCAACATTTTGGAGGAGCCTACTGCTTCCATCTGAAGTCTGAGGCATCAGGTTTCTCTACAATGTCGATACTTACCAAACAACACGGTGTCGTCCACAGTCACCGCCGTGTGACACTCAGATTTCATGTTTCTGTGCATCGATGTTGGATGTATCGAGTCTTTCAAATCACAGATACGTTGCACACAGCAGGCAAGATGACAGGAGTACTCACGTTTGTTTCGAACCCGAGTGCTTTAAGCAGTCTGGATTGTGCTGCAGCAGCTTGTGACGTGCTCTCACACACACTGGAACACTGCCGATACATTGCGAGCAACACACCGCCTCACGTGCCGTTTTATATTGCGCTTTTCCGCCATCATCCGGTGCTTTGTAGCTGAAGCCACTAACCCCACGGCGCAATATTCTTTCAAGGATAACAGCTATGTTGTTGTTACATGCGCGTTTTCCTTGAGCGTGCAGTCAACAGTTGCGTGCGTGAGAGTGATCGGACAGTCAAGACTGGCATCCCTGGGCATTGCTGTTTGTTTAGCGGGCATTCAGTCTTTGGCAGTGATATAATAATTCGGGATCCGTGGGATAGGTAACAGACACTAAACTTCTGGTAGCAGACCCGTGTCAAATTCATGCAGCTCCCTGTGATCCATGGTGTAACCGTTCTCTCACCTCGCGTTCGTCCCCTCTTGCTGCGGCAGGGTCGCTCTGTAGTTACCGCTAAGGCCTAGCGCACACATGTAATTGTCAGTTGAACGATTGTTGGCCAAAAATTGCGCACAATCGTGGAGGCACAACGATTTACAATTTCGAGTTGTCCAAAACTACTCCAATGATCAGTCGGTCAGTGTACGTACGTGCACTGTTGCTACGATTCAGGAAAAGAGAAAGCAGGGATATTAGGTTCACCCTATTTATAGCGAAAGTCTGTTAAAAGGAAAACTTTACACATTGTACCATGAACTGAGACAATACCAACCAAAATTTTTCGATTATTGCAGAATGAGTGTTGATAGTTTTGATGAATTGTTGCTTCTTCTGAAACCTCATATCTTGTACAAGAATACAAGATGGAGATTGACTATAGCAATGTACAGTGAGTGCAATATATGATCGTACTCCCTCAATATCACGCAGAAAACAGCGAAACGAAAGCACAGACATATGAACCGGTTTCTTTAAGGGCGGCTTGAGCTATTCTTACACATTAAAAGGCTTACGCCCTTTGAAATAAATCCGATTCATTAGTTATTAATAACGGACATAAGATAATGTTAACATAGTACTCATATTTTTTCTTATTAATTAATAAAATTGTCATGAATGAAATGGAATTTAATATTTCTATAATTATTATTGGAAACCCCCAAAACAAACTCCGTGGTTTTAGTCCGCAAGCGAACTATACCGACCGAGCGACCGCCGTTTGTCGTCGAAGTTGGTGCCAACTTTAGCGATAGAGGGTGTCGCGTGGTCAGCGCAACGAATCAACACGGCCGTTAATTTCGGTTTTGGAAGCACAAAAAAATAGTATTTGTCTCTTATATAACATTACGGGTATGATCGCTTTTTATGTAAGTCATTAGACTCGTTACACTTCAATAAGAATTGTCAAGGAAATAAAAATTCATCATGCTAAAAATACTGTATTTGTAATATATTACAGAAAACTTTTCGAGTAAACATAAATGATTGTACTATATATAATTAAAACATTTAACAGAAATTTGATCCCACAAGTTGCAGCTAGAGGAGCTAGAATGAGCGCGAAGACAGGCAGGAAAAGACGCAAATTTTTGACTGAAGGTCAAATCATGCACGATTTCCAGTTGTACGTGTGCGCACTCCCATAACAGCTCATGTACGCCCATCTTCTCAACAACAGTTGAGTCGGCGGGCACTTGAGGTAGAGCCCAACTGCTCACCGACTGTTGTAACAACTATCGTGATACGTGCGCACTACCATTAAACGCAATGGTTCTCGGCGACGTGCCCAACTATCGGCCAACTATCGTTCAACTGAAAATTGCATGTGTGCACTGGGCGTAAGTGTAGTGCAGATTGGGCTCCATCTCTTTCACCGGACAGCAATAGATCCGTCTCAGTGTCTTGCACGGGCCTTGTTCAGGCAGGTGATCCGAACAAAATTATATGCACAGCAAGTCACCACACACTTAGTAAAACTTATTAATTTTTGCTTCACGAGATATACCTGAACACTGACTCATGTTATTAATGTACACTATTGAGGCTTTCACCACTGTACCTTTCTTTGCTTATTTTGTTTTCAGACTAGACACATGCACCTACGTCTCACACGTTTAGCGTTCAGTAAGCTTCTCTCACGCTACAGAGAGACGTGCAGTATCCCGCGACCGCTAGCATGATGCAGTATGCAATTAACAACAGTCCCGATTGGCTGTTTGTTCCCGGTGCTGTCCCGAGTTACAAGCTCGAGCCAATCGTACTACTTTTAATAATTGCATCATGCATTCCTTCTAGAACATTCTATATGACGCAATATGATCTTTAACAAAGAAAATTCTGGAACTTCAAAATTTCACAAGATGTCCCTCCGTACTGCACATCTCTCAACATAGCGACTGGTCTCCCGGATAATATGATGCGTTTTATTACATCAGATTCATATACATAATGCTTAAACCATATACAATGCAATAATTACCACGTAAATATATTTGTATACACAAAAATGGATAAATATGTCACCAAGGAGGAGTAATCGGTTATAATGACAACGCTATCCTCCCAGTCTCTGCTCATCATCAGTGGCAAAGCAGCCTTTCTTGAGCCACAGCCTTCCTTACAAGATTCCGCCTCGTTGCAGGTTTTCATTTCTTTGGATTTCGCAATATTTTCTTTTTTACAGAACGGAGCCATCAGCATTGCGTCCAATCTCCAAACTGAAGGCCAGAGTCCCTATTTACGTCCCTCAGAAATTGGATGGCCCAATTATACCCCCAGGCGCCAGATTTTCCTTTCGTCGCCTTCTGAGACTCGCAGGGCTATGGTGGAGGTACTGCAACTCGCCTCCACGCTGGGAACTCCGAGATCCTCGGAGTTCATAAATTATGCAGTGGTATTTCTCCTGCGTCACATGTAATAACTGTATTCGCTTGATTCACTTTCTCAACTACCAAGCTAGTTTTCATGCGATAGTACTTCTGACTTATAGTCGAAAGCTGCACGGTTCGAATCCCAGCCGAGTCATTGACCATTCTGCTTTCGGTGCATTTCCTCGGTCCTTTCAAGCAAACTTCAGGATAGTCCTTTAAAGCAGCCCACGATCTCTCCCTTCCATATTCCAATTCATAACTGCCATTCAGTCATACGACGCTATACTCGTATAGTCACAGTTACCGCCGTCATTTTTTCATTGGCTTTTCCAGCCCATTCAAGGCCCAGACCTCTTATTCAGTTCCGTAATCATTTTTGACAGACGGTAGGACTCCTTGGACGAGTGATCAGCCCGTCGCAAGGCAGCTACCTAAACACAGGACAACACAAACACAGAATAAACAACACAGGCAGAAATCCATTACTTGAGAGGGAATCCAACACACGATCCCAGGGTCCAAGCGAGCGGAGATAGTTCATTCCTCAGACCGCACGGCTGCTGTGACCGGATATTGACGCCCATAACAAAAGTAAAGTAAATATTGTGTGTGCGGTGAGTAATTTCATCGTATTTTATTTTGCCTAGGCTGTACTCGAGGGAAAAGATTCGAGTTATTGAAATTTTGTGTTACGCGCAGGAGAATATACTTATTCACTTGTCTATGTGTATTACCTGCCCAAACACATGTGACCCCTTTACACATCTGTGCGCGCATCATGCGCTGCCTCCCTTACAAGTGCCTCTTATGCCGCTTGTTTGAAACTCGAACCAGGAACGTCATAACAGTTTACTGGTGTCGTCTGTTGCGTAAGATCGGACGGTTTTACCAGCTGCGTTGCGTGGCGACAGTAACGCTGCGGACACAGTAATTGAATTCTTTGTAAATTTAACTTTCTCCTTTCTTTCCTTCTTTCCCCTCCCCCTCCTCCATTCGTTCTTCTTTCTGCCTGAAGTTGCTGTTCTTTCCTTCTCATGTCTTCTTTGTAAAGATAAAGCTATTTCGTATGCTTAATTAAGCACGATTGCTTAAAGTAACAAATGATGAGACATCCCGTCTAATTCTCAAGGGCTTTTGTATACTCTGTAGTCGCTAGATCATGAAAAAAGGATAATGCAAGAGCTGTCTGTCACAAACCGCTGTTCGTTCTCTGTGCAGTCATGTACGATTTATAGTAATTCATAAAACGGCCATTCGGTACTTTGAGGACATCAATATTTGCCGCCAAAGCAGTAAATGATTAGAATTAGTGTGTGATATGACATATATGACATACTTCCATCTTTAGACCCTGAATTTAACGAATTTCCGTTCTTTCAGGACATGAGTTTTAACGCGTTAGGATGTTCTGTTTCCCTTTTTGGTGTTATGATGAGGTCGCTGGGTTTTTCAGTTGACCTAATCCTTCCAGCCGCATTATGGCCCTTGGTTCGACTCAAGCTCCAAAGAAATGAGCACCAGGAATGTTCCTTTGGTAAAGTGCGGGGGGCCGTCACATAAGGCTGACAACCTCACCGCCATCTGTGAGCCGATTATCTAGAAAATGTGGGATCTATGGATCCTAGGATCTATGGTCTTCAGCTTCCACATTAGTCAGTTCTAGCAGTTCTTCCATATTGGACTTAACGAAAGAAGCAGCCAGAAATGTATTCACAACCTTCCTCCCCTATTTTCTTTGACTATGTTGCCACCCGATAAGGCGGCTCTTGCTGTCATGTGACTAGCACCATCATTTGAAAGAATATCACATTACACACCGTACAGTATATTTGGACTCAATTTTATGCTTGTGTACGTAGATAACTACTATCAAAGCGTGTATATATTTTTGGGACATTCTATAAATGTTTTACGGTTATTTGTGCGTCTCCCCCTTTCCCCTTCCTATTCTTCCTCTTGTAGTGACGAATACAACACATTTTCCGATAGTCTGTCCTCCTCCGTTCATTTAGCATGGCCATACCATCTCAGTGCTCTGTTTTCTGTTTCCTATCGCTGTTGAGCTAACATCCCTGTCTCCCCTCATTCCTTTATCTCTCTGTGTCTTCTAACGCCAGCTGAACACAAAAGTATTCGGTTATATTTTACGTGTGTATATGAAACTAATTTCACCCGCCCAAGGAGTCCTACCGAATGTGTAAGATCTAGAAAAACCGAAGTGAACAGAGAAGTTCATGGAGGTAGGCCTAGGCCCACTGGGGCTGTAGTGCCAAGGGGAAAAAGAAAATATGAAACTAATTACACCCGCCTATGCTAATGGCTTGCCCATGTACCTGGTCGTTACCTGAGGAAATCCTTTCAACCACTGTGCAGCAAAAAAACCAATTGTGACCTATCACTTAGAATGGCGCTATTTTTGGAAAGTGGGTCAGAACTGTTGTGCCATCACCGTTCGGCGTTTGGGTCCGCAGTGATTCAGGTTAGGGCCCACGTGCGTGAGCTAATGGCCCGCCCACAGCACCCAGCAGTTGGAATTTCGACAATCTGAGAGCTATCACTGCTCTTCTTTCTCGGCGCTCAGTCCCCAGAAAACTGCACTTGGCGTGACTTGGGGGTAACGTTATGTAATTTGGTAGATACTTACCAACGTTTCGGAGGCATCCTCTTTCTTCTGGCACCGCCGGAGGTACCTTGCACCTGGAGGCGGCAGGTGCCCCCGAACCTTTGTATCTGTTTAATTCTGTTGTTCTGAAAACGGAGATAACAGGTTCTTCCGAAACATCAGTACCTACCTCTTTATTCCTGCGTTTCCATTACAAAGACCAGTCAGCTGATAGTTGTTGCTGAAGGGGGAAGGAATATGGATGTTTATTGTTAGACTCTTAAGAAACCGATAAAAATCTTCCAGACAAAATACATAGCTTTTTGACGTATGTGGTATATATAGCAACTACTGTGCTTTGAGGGATTACATGCGTACAATAATAATAATAATAATAATAATAATAATAATAATAATAATAATAGGAACTGATTGTTGGCAGTCGTTTGGCAAAATGCTTTGTTACCAGAACGCATTTAAATTATAATAATTCAATTCGTATTTAAATTTGTTCCGGTACCATTATACCTATATTGTCCATAAAAAAAATAAAGCAACATGTGTCAATAATCAGCAACAAAGATAAAACAACATGTGTCAATAATCAGCAACAAAGATAAAACAACATGTGTCAATAATCAGCAACAAAGATAAAACATATATCAATAATTAGTAACAAAAATAAAACAGAATATGCCAATAATCAGCAACAAAGATAAAACAACATGTGTCAATAATCAGCAACAAAGATAAAACATATATCAATAATTAGTAACAAAAATAAAACAGAATATGCCAATAATCAGCAACAAAGATAAAACAACATGTGTCAATAATCAGCAACAAAGATAAACAACACGTGCCTGCAGTCAGCTCTGAATGCTGCAAAGCTGTATGCACTCTCTAGAAGCACAATTTATTTGTTCGTGCATTGCCTTATGTACAGTTGTATTTATATTGCACGTTGAGCCGTTTCTCAGGAAATTATAGAGGCCAATTTGAAGGTCACTCTGAATAGTATTTGTGTCTGATTTATACGAACCGAAATCAAATTCCTTCCTTCCCGAATACCGTGTTGTGCTGAAACACGAGCATTTTGGCTTTGAATGTGTAAAACAGGGGCGGACAGCGCGACATCTTCGTTTTCAGTTAGTTTTATGGAAGGCGCTTAAAGAACGCGTAATGTTATTAATAGTAAAGCTGCAACTACTTATATTTCTATTACGTACGTTATTATAGTTGTCGTTTCGTTTAAACTGATCACAGTTATACATCGTTACTGGCTAGGGCAATGTTTGTATAACTGTGGTCCGTGAACCTCCACCAAACTGTCGGTATTATTAGATATTCAATGCAGTATTATATAAAAAAAAAGTAGATCTATCCCTGTAACAGACCGTGAAGACCCACAGGATTGTGAGATATCGAGAATCCCACATTTTCTAACCAATCGGCTCACAGATGGCGGTGATGTCAACATTAAGCGCCGGCCGCCCCCAGGAAGATTTCTGGTACTCATTCTGTTTGAGGCTGAGTCGCCCGCAGGTCCATAGTGCGGCTGGAAGGATTAGGTCATTAGAATGTAATCCGCGACCTTCCGGCTTGTAGCATAGTGCCTCACCGCGTGCTCCCCGAAATAGAAAATATACTATTATATATGACATGTAATAAATAAAATACGATAAATTTAAAAATTTGTGACGAATCTTTTTTTTAAATTGTCTTAAACTGGTGAGTAAAAAAATGACTCATCGCAACTTTAACTCTAATATTTACTTTACTTGCAGAAAAAAGCTCAGTTGTAAGCTCTTCACTGGTAAGGGGAATGTTAACAATAGCTGAGTGGTCTGCGCTTGCGCCGACCGCAGTTTGCAACAGCAAAGCGCAACATTGCTCTAGGGGCTGTAGTATTTTTAATGTTACGTTGTCACGCACTGCATAATGCGGAAGTCCGTGAACTTCTTATGTCAATAATGGAACATGAATATATGTTGAAAATTTCAGCCCCATTACCGATAACTTCATATAAAAGCATCCTTAACATTCTCTTAACTGCTTTGACTGTTTTTATTTCATACTTACTACATCAGTGATATATTCAGGCAAGACAGTTCAATTATTATAGTTTTCGCTACTTTAAATTTTAAATATAAACATAATTTTCGTACCGTCACCATGTTTGAATTGTAATATTTACATTTATTACGCACACACAAAATGTTCTGTGCAGAATTTGTTGATAACTTGTGTCTATGCCCTCTGTGTATGTAACATTTCAGATTTTCTTGATCCAGTGGCCATCCAACTGAAATTCACAGGTTTATATGCCTAGAGGATTCATGTCTGTTATCACAAAACCTCTCCACAGTCTACATCTATAAAATTTATTGTAATATTAATCTGTAATCTACCCCTAGCTCTTCCAAGCACTGTCTCCCTTGCAGTTTTATTGATCAACATTTTTAAGTATTGGGACCACATTTAGAAAACCTCAACCTCTTCTACTGAAGCTGATTAATGAAACTGGAGATACATTAGCACAAATTCTGAAACAGATATCTGAAGTGACTTACACCAAGACGGGTGTGCTGCATAGGCACAATGGCAATAGGCACTGTGGCCACCTCGGTCTCCTTACTTCAGATATTCCCTAACAGTCAAATTCAGAGAACATACTGCAAATGAGTATTATAATTAGATGATGTGACGTTTCTCTTCTCTGTCGTCTATGATCTTTTCAGCCAGCTCATGAAACACTTCATTGAAAATTCTCGCATCTATGTTCACACCGATCATATAAAGGAGGTACCAGTCCCCTACACTGTAGTGTCTCGTAATCTTCTCTATGTCACTTCTTCTGATGAGTCCGTAATTGATCTTAAATAGATACGCCCTCAGTCTGTAACTTGTGACCATACATAATCTGTATATTATCAGAAGTAATGTCAGGATGGCCAAAATTATAAACCAGAACCACAGGACGATATAAATCTTTTCATTTACAATATTCAGTGGAAGAATGCAGATCGAATCATGACGCTCTACCTCGCCGGATACCCCGTACTTGTAGAAAGTGCACTTGGTCATCCTGGGGAAGATGTATATCATGGGGTCGACGCGGTCCTCCTGGTCGCTTTGCATGAAGTTGATGACGTCTATACCGTAAGTGAAGAACTCCCCGTCTAAGAAATGGTCCATCAGGAAAATCTGACCTGGACAACGTAGAAAATTGTGTTAAATGCAGTGGCAGGACGTACAGGACAAAATAAAGGAAAAGCTACAGATACTGTACACATTTATTTATAGAACAGGTCAAATACCTAGGATTAACCGACCAAAAAACCAAGGAACTCAACTGGCTCATAGGAAGGAAATCCCACCTCTCCATAGAAAACAAGTTACTAATCTACAAAACAGTCATCAAGCCTATATGGACATACGGCATAGAACTCTGGGGCTGCGCCAGCAAATCCAACATTGCCACTATACAGCGTGTCCAGTCCAAAATACTCCGAACAATCGCGAACGCAGCAGGGTATGTATCCAACCGCACCCTACATACAGATCTAAAAACTCCTTACGTAACGGAAGTCATCCGAGAAAACAGCACCGAGTACTTCAGCAAACTAGAAAAACAGTTCAGCCCACTTCTTCAACCACTATTAAAACCTCATGAAAATCAAAGACTCAAAAGAATTTGGCCATCAGATCTAACGAACTGAGGAAAATATCACTGGATGTTCACTCTGCACACGCCAGAGGAGTATATAGTAAATAGTTATTACACCAATCAGCACATTGACTTACAGATTGTACAATCTGATTGTCAGTAAAGTAGAGAAGGAAAAAAATCTTTATCAATAGGGTGCTGCACCAATATTTTGCCTTCAGTACAGCCGCGGTCCTTCCTGGAAGGGACTCACAAGTTTTGAACAGTTTCTAGCGACATTTTATACCATTCTTCTTGAAGAACATCTTCAAGTTGCTTTAGGGATTTTGGAGGTTGGAAACTGTTCCTCACTGTAGTCTCCAAAACTGACCTGAGTGGTTCACTGATGTTCAGATCTGGTGACGGTGCTCGCCAGGGAAGATGTTGAAGTTCACCTTCATGCTCTTCAAACCACGACTGAACAGTTCCAGCTGTGTGAATGGGGGCATTGCCGTCTTGGAGCACCACACCGTTGCTCGGAAATAGCGTCTGGACCATGGGATGCACCTGATTGCGCAACCTGCCCACGCACTCCCTTGCAGTAACTCGGCCATGAAGTGTAACAATGGGAGCAACAGAAACTGTACCGTGATGTTGCGGCCCAAACCTTCACAGAACCTCCCCCGTGTTTCACTGTTCGGACCCAATCAGGCAATGCGGATTGTAGGCTTCCTTGGCTGTTCTCAGAACGTGAACTCTTCCTGAGTGTGGAGCAGTCAGTGGAATGAGAATTGGGAGGGTAAACCGAAGTACTCGGAGAAAACCTGCCGCAGTGCCACTTTGTTCACCACAAATCCCACATAACCTGACTGGGCTGGAACCCGGGCCGCAGCATTAGGAAACCGGCGACAAACAGCCTGAACTGCGACACGGCAAACTCCTCAACTTACGGCACGACATCTTGGCATTTACTGCCCCCTTGCGAATAACTCATACACCAACCGTTGTGTAGGAAAACATAAATAAACATTTTAATACTTGAATTGTGTTATATTATGAACTTAGCGTGATATTCTCTGGCTGCCTGTGCCTGGCTACAGTTCATAAACACCACCACAGAATGAAATGCAAATAAACATTGCCCAACGCAGTGCTTATTTAGCAGACTATATGCTTTCGCACACAAGTGACATAAGTGAAATTGCTACTTGTTCTTTTTTACGTCACGAAACAACAGAAGTTACTATTCGCGTTAAAAACATCAGTCTCTTCTTTACAGCAGTGCAGTATAGGAACGCATGTCGTGGTGAGATTCAGGGTGAGGAATGATATTAGCAGGGAGTCACCGTCAAGCGGATACCACACCTGCTTCGTACTAGAGGAGGTCCCGAGTTCGAAACTCAGCTCAGAGTCGTGCTGCCCTGGCTGATGTTTTCTTGGTTGTACTCAGTCTCTTGTTTCAAATCCTGAGATTGTAACACAAATCAGCCCATAGTATCTTCCCCTTCCGCATCCTTACCCATTCATTATTCACTAAGCATCTATGCAGCGTCGCTAAGTATATAAATAATCAAGAAGTTCTGGGAAGAACTAGTCGCCTGCTTTCCTTTAATACTATGTACAAGGACCGCATAGAAAACGACGCATCCAGCAATTGCTCTGTTGATTCGTGTGTATACTTTGTCGCTGTAACGCTCTTACCGAGCCGTTGCCTAGTAACGATAGCGGGGTGTATATATATATGGATACACAGACTGACGGGAGACATTTATGAAGTATACCATTGAGATGGGCGAACGTGTCATGTTATACATACCAAGTTTAATTAAGATTGGTTTAAGCATTCAAAAGCTATTGGGAAGGGGGATGCACAGACGCACGGGATGGAAATCGCATAAGCCTACTTTTATTTTATTTTTTTTTTCAAAATAAGGAATGTAGGGTAAAAACAAGTGGTTGGGTAAGAAGAGATGAACGCAGCAGAAGAAAGCACAAGGGCTTGAGGGAGCCGTGTAAGAGGTAGATCCGTTGGGCTTCTTTCTCTGACCTCATCTCTGTGTTCACGTACCTATCACGTTGACAAGAGCGAGAAACTCGCAGAAGAAGTACTTGAAGGCCCAGAAGTTGTGATACTGCCTGTTGTTCTGGAGATAAGTTAACATCATTTCCTCCTTTTGTTTCCTGTCCACCTCTGTCATTATCCCGACGTCCAGGTCCATCTTGAGTGCTTGCAGCTTCCCGCCTTCCCACGACTTCCACAGCCACCGCGGTGCGTAGAACAGGATAGCCTGCAACAACCGGTACAGTGATTAGATGCGACTCGTTTAGATTCACGGGTCTGTGTCTCCTGCCTGGGGACTCACAAGGGCTTTAGTACCCATGATTATGTAACGACGCTTTTTCAGTTTTGGGACCATCTGCCTTCGGACGTTAGGATGACAGAGGAGTGATGAATTAGAATGGATCTTGAAGGAAGCAGTAGTGACCTAATCCCAGCATTTATCTGGAGGGACTGAGGAAGAAACACAAATTGTCTCACTCAGGATAGTCGGTGTCCCGACAGAGATTCGAACCGAGTCCCTCCTGAGTGCATTTCTAGAGCGTTACCTCCAGGCCAATTCCTTCTGCAGTATTGGCGATGATACAGTAATTGAACTTAATGAATTTTGAAACGAAAGTTCAGTTTCGGTAGTACTAGTGGTGATGTACCAGGTGGGGGAGTAACGAGGAAAAGAGTAGAAAACGCAAAAATTAAAGGAGAAGAGCATGATCTAGACGAAGTTAGTGAGGATGCTAAAAGAAAGAGGAAGAAGCGTAGGTCGAGGAAAAGGAAGTCAGAAACCTCAGACAGATCCTCCTTCCAGATCAGGCATCTCAAACTCAACTTGTACAGAGGGCCACCTCAGCCCTATAAATAATAATCCAGGGCCGCACTTCAAAATAGAAATATACATTAGATTTTGATACTCGTAGTTGATAATTTAATGTCTAATTATAACCTTTATACGTTCATCACAATGTAACATCAACACCTGTCGCTGTGTGAAAATGAACTGACTGACAATGTACAAGAGACTACCGGACTAGTAGGAAGGTGTATCTCTTGTCTCAATGGNAATTTTAGTACATTACCCTTCTGAAATACAACAGTTTGTCCTTCACGAACTTTACAAACCGTTAGTTGGACAAACCCTTCTGCAATTCTCAGAATCACTTTTCCTGCAGCCTGCTAACTTATGTCTGCGTGAGACTTCTTGTCTTCTGGTCTGTTGGGAAATTGTCTTTACAAAAAATATTTCTACTAAAATTTTAATATTGATTTTAATATCAATTAGCTCTAAAATTTGAGGGGCGGCACTTTGTGGCTATGGGCCCGCATGTTTGACACGGCTCTTCCAGATGATGTTTCCTGTGGGCCAAGAAATGCCTTTGGTTGATGATTCTCGTACTGCTATAAACCGATTTGCAAGTGAAGAGAAACGTGCACTTGATCGACTTCATAATGATATTTATAATGAAATACGTGATGCTGCTGAAGCTCATAGACAGACCCGGCAGCACAACCAGAAGTGGGTTAAGACACAAATGACGATAATTAGAACATGCGGAGAACTCGAGTCTGTAGCTCGCAAGTTGATTCGTGTTTGTACGGGAGGTGAGGGTTGTTTGTGCTTGTACCAAACACCAAACTAAGAAATCCGAAACGCGTTACAATTTTCCCTTCTACCTATATACGTATGTGTCAGATAAAAACAGATGCCAGAGATGCAGTATATTTCCAGCAGTTGGTATTCAAGACCTGCAAAATGTACTACATTCTGAAGGGGCCTCAAGTTGAACCCAAAAATTTACTCAATAAAACTCGAGAGAAAGACGTCATATAAACGTCTTAAAATGATATAAGATCGTTCCGAATTAAATCAATTTGAAGAGCCGGCGTTGCTCAAGAACGGAAAGCAATAGAAGTTGCAATAACAATATGGACAGTGGTAACAATAATAATTCAGTTCTGTTCTTTATTTTGATGAGCTGACTCAAAAGCTACCCAGTTACAGAGTCAGCGTAGTTAAACAAACAACACAGACACAGATGTACACACGCAGTGTCCTGCTTCGCAGCAGCTACAGGACAATCATAAGTTTCATAATACGTATTATATTTCAGCTTCTTGCTACAGTAATATGTCACTCACTCACTCACTCACTCACTCATCCACTGACTAACTTCTGTCTATAAACGCTAACACAGCTTTTTCTTTTAAGTGTCGCTTACAGTTACATTTCAAATTCATAAAATGTATTTAAAATGTCATAAAATTATTAGAAATAACTTACACAAGAACGACACACACAACACAACACACAATCCCATATTGCAGATAATATACGAACTCTACGGCAGATAGCAGCACACACACCATCAAAATGTCATAGAAGTGAAAGAAAATACATCAACAAAACAATACAAGGGTTACACGCCTGATCTAGGAGAACTACGCACAAGGAATGCGTAAGTACATAGTAAAGGCCGCGCCATAGCTCAAGCGGTTAGTCGCTGGCTTCCCACCGCGGCGGCCCGGGTCTGGTCAAGTGGGATTTGTGGTGGACAAAGTGGCGCTGTGGCATGTTTTCTCCGAGTACTTCGGTTTGCCCTGCCAATCTTCATTCCGCCAATTGCTCCACAATCACCCACACCTATCATCTGGGGCTGGTACAATAGGCCAGAAGTGGCCACAGTACAAGGGACTTAGTCCCACCCCACTAGCAGTAATAAAAAAGTACAAAGTAAACACGTACAGACTGTACAGAATTGTAGTAAACATGACATTGATACTGTACATTACACAACGTGAAAGCCGCAGCACAGAAATACGTGGCCTGGTGAACGCGCATGCGCACATCCTCGAATATGATGACATGTCAATATATTGACGTGCGAGCCCATGCAGTGTAGTGATTTCGTTCAGTTGGCAGTTGCCTGATGATGGCCCCGTGAAGCCGAAACAAGTGGCAGCGAATGACATTTCATAAATTTTAAATGCAATTATTAAATGGCGTTTAAAATAACAAGTGTGTTTGCATTTATAGACGGAAGTGAGTGTGTGAGGGAACGTCCGTTTGTAACGACATCGAAAGCAACTGGACACTGCAGGTTTCTATGAACCGTTGTTAACGAACTGATTGGCGTTGTTATAGGTCGTAGTCTCAACCGCGGAGCAGCGAACCGGGCATTTAGAAAATAATAATAATAATTCAATTTCATATTTATTTATTTACGTACAAACTTAACAGGCCAAAGGCCAATTATAAATTGAGTAGAAATGCAGACAAAGAAACAAAACACAAACAAACAACAAAAGAAGGAAATTTATATGAGTTGCGTAGCAATAATAGCAATAATAATAATAATAATAATAATCCTAACTGGCGCTAGATGAATCCAATTCAAATTATCATACCATGATCCATTTTATAATAACTTTCCACCTCTTCCAGTTATAACTTCTGTTCACTTCCCACTTGCTTGCTACATGCCTCGCCCATTATATATGCACCGTAGTAACGACTGGCCAGTAGCAGCACGCCCTGTGTGTAACGCAAAATTGTTTGCTTTACGTAATGGGACAGGGGCACTAGCTTACCACATATGACTTTAGACGGCCGATCACAGGATGTGCATGAAATGTCTTCTCCTTCTCAGACACTGGAATCGTGTGTTCGAATCCGGCTAGATGTATGGATGTCCGTCCAAGTTTCTTCCGCATTTGTGTTGTCTGTTGTAGTTAGCGGCCTTGCGATAGGACTGACCCCCCCCCCCCGTCTAAAGTCTTGCCGTCTCCGTATAGGATCCATGGTTCCGTATTAATTCTGATGGGGAAACAGACCTGAGGGCCTAAGGAATAAAGGGGGAGGAAGGATAAGAAGAAAAAACTGAAATTTTACGTAAATATTTCTCCTGAATTCATCAGTCTCGTGCCTAATTAAGTCCAATAAAAAACGTAACAGAACCAAAGTGGAAGACATACAGCAATGCAACACGCGTCAGTTTCAGAAGAAACTGCTCACCGTACATGTATGTGTATGTATGTATGTAATAAGAAACGGCTGTTTCCTCGGTCACCTGAATGCTGAAAATGTCGTGTCCTACGTCTAATGAAATTTCAGTTCACTCAACATTCGATTCTAGTTTTGTATTTACGCAAGTATCCTGCGGGTCGCAGTTTTGTGACAGTCCAAACCTTTTAATACTCTTTAATGGACGCTATCTTCCTCTCTAGCCATTTCAATAGAGTGACTGATTTATAAGTGAGAGCCATCCATTAAGAAGTTATGACTTGCTTTTCGCATTTGGACAGGAACAACTGCCTTGTTTTGTTACCTGCAGCTTAGGTGACCGGGAAGGGTCGAGGATATCACGGAAAGATATGTCTGTAGTTTGCCGAACATGTAAATGTTGTTTTGCTAATAGGGTAGCTGTTATAAAAGTGTCTTCGGAAAGGTGTAATTGGACCCTAAACTAAGCAATAACCGCTTTCACATGTAGGGTTCCGAGTTCAATATCTTTGGATCTCTTTATTCTCAAAGTTAGTAATGTGATTGTCTAGTGCTGATTCATGATGAATTGGCAGTTAAAATCAGCCATTAGGAAACTATTCTTGTCTTGAGAAAGGCCGTCGGTTCAAATCCTATACAATGATGAAGTGACGCTCCCGCAGAATAGAAGCAGAGGCACTTGGCGTTCAGAATTCATCACAGCAGACGTCTTTGGACTGTACTCTCCAAGTATATCTAAATTTAACACTCTTTAATTGGTTCGATTAATCTTTGATAATATAAAAAGAGCACATTACTCCGCACTTGCCAATAAAGTTATAGTGTTTGCTTCTGAAATAAACAATTTGTGATTAAGCAGAAATAGTGCCTTTGATTTGCATCAGTGGACTAGCTTTAAATGTGTAATCTCGTCGTTGCCCCAGTTATTACCGTGACATAACCCTGAGAAGAGTCAAGTGTTCTACCGAAGCGGGCAAATAAAAGAGTCAAGTGTTCTAGCGAAGCGGGCAAATAAATAAATAAATATAAAGATAATAAATATGGGACGGTTGCAAGAAGTGGCGCCCAACGGTTATAAGAAGTGACAGCCAAAGAGCGGTTATAGTTTCGTGCCTCAAGGTTGAACACTTACGTCTCTGAGCAATGTTTACGAATAGGAGGGAAATGAATCGTATTATTACATGCTGCTTAAATGTCCGTATGTCAATGAGAGTGCCTTGTTTTCACTCATTGGC